TGTTCTACTATATTTTAATCTTTTTATACTAATCTGTGGATGATTTATATTTAAATGCAATATGCTACTCACTATTGTTAAATAACATTCATGTTTGGAAATACTATTCCTCTTTGCCATCCCTGAGACCCCCTGCCTCTGTTATAGTCATGGAAACCTCCCCTTGGGTAACTTTGTGGAGGGCCGTTGTTTGGTGCAATGTTCTGCGGACACTCTCTGGACCAATGTGTCATCTGACCACATTTGAAGCATCCTTCACTTTGGGAACCTTTTGCTGTTGATTGTTGGTTCTGCATCTGAATCTCTGGCACTACTCGAGTTTGAACTGTTGGAGGTGTCTGAAAGCTTCTCCTCCCTTCTCCTTCTCTTGTTCCTACAAGCCTCAATGTCTTTCTCAGCTACTTGCATCTTCAAAAGTCTTATCTGTAGCGCTTCCCGCTCTGTCTTTTGTGTTTCTCTTTCTCGTCGTCTTTCTTCTGTGATTTCTTCTAATCGTATGTTCTCTTCCATCAGCTGTTTGGATTTACTGGTTAGCACTCTTACTTCATACTCCAATTCTTTGACACTTTTGTCCGTGGAGACTCCATTGAACTGCAATACTTCTATAAATCCAACATTTGGGGAGGGAGGAGGGACTTCGGCCAGGCTTAGATACAGCTTTGGAGTTTGGATAACTTGAGCGTCTTTAGTTTTTTCTGCTATGTCTTCCCTCACTGGTAGGTCTGCTACTTGGACCACATTTATGCTGTCTGTCAATAGGCTGGCATATTCCAGATGGAGTATTAGACTTGTAACTCTTATAAACCTTTGTTCAGCTTCCCTCCATACATTTAGCTGTTGTAGGCATTGTTCATGTTCATAGTCGAGTACTGCTCTTCTATGGGCTTTTGTTGGTCCAGGTTGATCATCTGGTGGAATCAACCCTCTTGTTTGCCATTGTTTCAACAATTCCTGTATTTGATTCCCTACTTTCTGTCTGTCTGATGCATGTGTTGTGGCATCTGATCTGACATGTACCTTTTCCTTGATGTCTGCAGTTGACCCTGGCTCTGCGGCTGCTCCTAACTTAATGTATTTTGGCGACATATTTCTTAAGTAGTTGGATATAGTTATTAAATGTATCAAAGATGAATCACTAATCTACTGAATAGTACCTTCGTTCCTGATAAAAAATATCCTATGTCGTCCGAACTTAACTTCAATATCTGGGATTCCCTTTTTTTTTTTTTTTTTTAGATTAATAAAGTAAAAATATTAATAAAGTAAAAATAAAAATTATGCAAATGTTTACAAAAAGATTTTGAAAAAATAAAAAATTGTACAGTGTATAGTTCTTGACTTTGAAATATGAAAAATAGAAATCTTCTGAAAATCCAACTTTATAGTGTATTTAATATACCAATGTGTATGAAATTATGCTAATATCATAAACTGTGTTCACTTCAATTATGTGGTGTTTTAGATATTCTACAGTCTAGGTTGAAAAAACCACCTGTGATTCTATCTATGTGTGATGAAGTACTTGTTCATCTATAACACTTGAAAGTAAACTTTAGCATATTATTATAATTGGTGATATTTTATACGTTTTTCTTTTACCCCTTTGGTGCAACAATTCTGTACAACCAGCAGAGTGCGCTGTTTGTAATTTTTCAGTTTTATCCACCCTTGTTAGCCCTCCTTAAAAGTGGACTTCTTTTTAACAAGAAGCTTATTTTCTTAATAACTACCTTTGACATGGGAAGGAAATTCACTTTATGATTAAACAGTAAAAGCATCAGCCATCACATTTGCAAACACGATTTGAACAGTATGGAATAAACCAGCCAAATACAATCACAATGCTTAAGGATTTAAACAATAACACATAATCCAGCCATCACATTTGCAAACACGATTTGAACAGTATGGAATAAACCAGCCAAATACAATCACAATGCAATCACAATTTTTAAGATCAGATAGTGCTGGTTCCAATCTCCGAGAATTGTTTAGAAACACCAAACACCAACTCCAATATCTATAGGTAACCTGATTTATCAAAATGTACTATTTCCTAAATCCAACTGGGTCAAGAAGAATGGTTTGTTCTTCACAAGATGGAGGTCAGAAAAAGGACTTGGCCTCATGTGAGTGAAACCACATGGATTACAAAGAACAAAGGAGTCTGTCGAATTAGCATTTCTTGAAATGGCGACTGCCTTGTGTCTTGTTTGAAATACAGTCAAAACAAGATGGCTACTGATTATTTCGAACTCTGACCCCCAGAACAAAGAGATGTTGAAATTATCCCATGTGGTTCTCACTGATAAGTTCAAATAATGGCTTGGTGATCTTTAAATGGACAAATGGAAACCCTGGTGTGGTATGACAAAGTTTTAAAAATACAACACAAAACTATACTTTATATTCAAAATAACATTTCGATGAATATGGGCTTTATCCTAGAGATATCCTATCTTAAAATGAGTAGCCCTTATGTCATAAGCCTTAAACCTATCAACGTAATATTTGACTTTATAGTCTGGTGATTATCTGTTGTTGTTTAAACACGCTAGTGTGGGACCAATATGGAGACCTATCAGCTACCATTAACAGACCGTCGTCATGTATACCGTAATGCTGCTGTAACTCCTATTACCGTAATCCACTCTGCAATATCTTGGTTGAAAACACAACAGTATAACACCTACTAGCCTTACTAGCTTTGTCGTCCGAAACGACTCTAACGCCCTCAGCGTCTTTTAATATTGTCCTAAACAATTTTATCGTCCCTAACGACTTTCACACCCTCCGTGTCTTTTAATATTGTCCTAAACAATTTTATCGTCCCTAACGACTTATATCGGCCGAACCGACTTTAAAAGATTAATATTAAAAACATGCAGTTGGTTTAATGAATCAAAGAAAGGAATAGAGACTTACCCTTGCTTGGTATAAAACAACGCCACGTGGTTTGGTTTAAATTTAGATATTTAACATTATGCACAGTTATTCTCCGGATCCGCTGGCCGCCATCAAACACACAAACCTAAAGTTTCCTGCATAAGCTAGTGAAGATTTGATTTAACCGGTTCTTCTTACCACTGTGTGTGAGCTCTTGTGGTTTGACGGAGGGCCGGGATCCGTTAAACAGCTGGCTTGGTTAGTTCTCCCGGGTTCACGAGGTCCTGCCAATTCATTTACAGCCTTGTTACTCTGAACCTCTTCAACTTTATTACAGGGTTTTATGCTATAGCTTTGGCTTAAAACATTTCCAACTCTGTTTTAATACTCAGGTTCCCATAGGACTTTAAAACAGGTTTAGCTTTCTGTAATAATCTCTCCTTTTTCAATTTGACTCTAAAAGAAATGTAATTAATTTCAATTGAAAGACAGAGAAAAGTGACCTCACTTGTTTGTATTGGCCTGCCGTGTCGTTCAGGAGCTTCACAACCTCCATGCTGTCTACAGTGGCCAGGTCTGTGTGTTTCTCTCTGCAGTATCTCTGTGCTTCAGACATGTTCTTTGCTTCAGAAACAAAATGGTACTGACGTTCAGCATGTGAGGAGACAGCGCTCAGCCCTGTAGAGACACACACATTCATTTAGGCTATAACTTGACTTTTTGAATCACACTTTACTGTAATATGGCGCATCATTATACATTTTGACTTCTACTTCAAACAATTCACAGTGAAATATGTAGCTTTCAGCTGAACTTCATTTAGTTGTTTTTAAGCAAGTACCTTTCAAACAATATTAAAAGGTGTTAAGAATGCAAAACAAGTAATTATCAAATAGAATCAGAAATTTCTTCCCTAGTTATTTATCTCCCCACCCCTCAGGTTTACATGAAATAATCAATAAAGACATAAAAAGATATCCAAATAAATAAAACACTTGCCTGCAGCTGCCATGATCAGCAGCAGAACTACGTCCATCGTTGTTTGCTCTCTGACTGCAACTGTTGTTACAGCTCATAGTGTTTCTCATGAATGTCTTTGAGTAAGCTATTGTCATCTGACTTCATGCAAGGTCAGACGCAACAGATGTTTGCATAGGCAAATTGTTCGGGTTATGTTAAATACAGGACCCAGTCGCAGAAAATGACTTGAAAATCAGAATTCTGAAGTAGGTTTACACATATGAGGAATTTGCTTTGGTTTATGTTGTGCATACAAAGACGAAGAAAGAACAATATAGCTAAACAAAATACAAATAAAAATAGAACTGTTATTTAAAAAAACGTTTTAAGAAAATATAATTCTCTAAGAAACATGAAAAATACTATGTACTATATCCACAGAGGAGAGCTGTGCTGATATACAAGAGGTAGTGTGGAGAAGAAATGTGCACCACATTTGTAGGATTCGCACGATGTGACTTAATGTAATACATAATGTTTTTCTGGGGTTGGTAGCAGTCAGTGTCCGTGGGGGTCACGGCCCTTATTGATGAGACCGGTAGCAGAGGGGAGGAAACTGTTCAGGTGGCGAGAGGTTTTGGTCCTGATGGAGCGCAGCCTCCTCCAGCGGGGAGAGGGGTAAACAGTTTGTGTCTGCAGAGTGGATGATACGCTGAAACCTTCCTTTGTCCTTAGCTGTGGCTGCAGCGTACCAGATGGTGATGGAGGAGGTGAGGATGGACTCGATGATGGTGGTGTAGAAACCATCATCGACTTTGGCAGGTATCATTTCTTCAGCTGCTGCAGGAAAAACATCCGGTGCAGCTGGGAGAGCGTGTCCCACATCGGGAGTAAAGTTCATCAGATTTATTGTTGTATACTCAGGCAGATGATGAAGAAAGGGTAGCGGAAACCGGTGGCGGTTGGTGATGTGTCACGACCGATGGGAGCCTGGTGTGAAGACTTGCTACAGGCGCAGACAGAGCATGAAAACTAGAGAGTCCGCCTCCATGGAAGTCCACTAGAAGTGACGTTTCAGGAGGGATAGGGTCCGATTGATACCCGGGTGGAAGGCGAAGCTGGAAGAGTGGGCGAATAGGAGAACTTGTGAGCGGTCAGGTACGACGGTTATCCGGACTGTTACCTGGATCTGGCTGGTCTTTCTGTTCGTTCCTCACTGAGCTCTCAATCTCCCACGTCACAGCACCCACCACCCTGGTAGCGGGAATTATGGTGTCAGGAACTGTGGAGTCATGATCCACTGCAAACCGCCGGGACAGAGCGTCAGGTTTGTAGGTTTCTAGAATCGGAACAATAGGTAAAGGTAAAGTTGAATCTGCCAAAAATGAAAGCCCAGCAGGCTTGACAAGAGTTTAATCATTTGGCAGTTTTTATGTAGGCCAGGTTCCTATGGTGTGTCCACACAAGGAATGGATGTTTAGAGCCCTCCAGCCAGTGCCTCCATTCTTCCAGTGCAAGCTTCACAGCAAGCAGCTCCCTGTTGCCAACGTCATAGTTGCGCTCAGCAGTCTTCAAGCATCTACCTCAACAATAAACTGTAGAGATGTGTCAGTAGAGGCTGACAATAAATGTCTCTTCAGCTCTGAGAAGGCAGGATCAGCCTGAGGAGTCCACAAGAAAATGGATTGCTGGGGAGGTGAGTTGGTTGAGAGGAATGGCCACATGACAGTCTCTGATATATCGACAACAAAAATGTGCAAACTCCAAAAAACGCTGGAGCTGCATCCTGCTGGAAGGTTTGGGGCATTGTGCCACAGCTTGGTCCTTCTCTGGGTCTGCTTTCACCTGCTCTGGCTCGATGATGTAGCCAAGAAAATCCACTGAATCCAAAATAAATTTGACAAACAGTTTGTTTTCACGGAGCCTTTGTAGAACCTGCTGCACATGTTGGGTGTGTTCCTCCATTGTACGTGAGAATATTAAGATGACAACAAGATACACAAAAACTGAACGGTTCAGGATGTCACGGAGGACATCGTGCACCAGAGCCTGGAAGACAGCTGGGGCATTGGTCCGAATGGCATCTCTAGATACTCTAAATGGCCTAGTGGGGCGTCTTCCACTTGTCTGCTTGACGGACCAGCTGGTAGGCGTTCCTGAGGTTGAGTTTTGAGAAGATGTTGGCTTCCTGTAGTGGTTCGAAGGCTGAGTTGATGAGAGGGCATATTTGTTTTTGATGGTGATGTTGTTACAATGCAGGAGCGCAGAGAGTCGTCTTTCTTGGACACAAAGAAAAAAAGGTTCAAGCTTCGGTCGGGACAAGTTAAACCGACAGCTGGATGGAAGAGAGGCCCAAGGAAGAAGATCTATGGCGCTTATTTACACCCAGAGGTGGAAAAATTACTCAGAACTTGTACTTAAGTAAAAGTAGAAGTACCAGAGTGTAGAAATGCTCTGTTAAAAGCAAAAGTCCTGGATTCAAAATGTTACTCAAGTAAAAGTAGAAACGTATTGGCATCAGAATATACTTTAAGTACCAAAAGTAAAAGTACTCATTTGCAGATTGGCCCATTTCAGAAAAATATATATTATATGTTTTGATTATAATTATTGATGCATTAAAGTGTTATCAAAGTTGGTATTATATCTTAAGTACAGTACTTGAGCAAACATACTTAGTTACTTCCCACCTCTGTTTACACATTATAGTGTAAATATGGAAGTGATAGTGGTTAACAACTATCTTGTGTTGAGAAAAACGAACAAATATAATTTTTATTTGATCTCAAAATAGAGTTAAAAATTACAATAAATTGTAGTTAAGGTACCTACTCTGCAAAAAGGGTTAAATGTACACTATGTGGTGTGGACCCATAGACACAAAGTGTTGAAATCAGATCTGAGAGTGTTCATTTGGGTATGCTGATTTTGCTTTGATACAACATTCAAATCACTCTGTTTGCATAAAGTAAGAAAGGTCAAAGCAGCACAATTAAACTACCCAGAGGTTAAACCTGGAACAATACGTATGTTCTCTTTGGATGAGATCAACACTGTCCAAATACCACATTACAAGTAAAATACCTGCATTATGTGATTATAATCAGGAACATGTACTCAAAGTATCAAAATGAAAGGTAATCAATACTTGCTCTTTATGTCTAGATGTTATGATATAATTTGTATCACCCTGTAATAATTCATTTTGTTTTCACAATTAACTGTTAACAGTACTTTACTATAAAGAAGTTTGACAGTAAAACAGTTTTACTTTTGGTTAGAGTTTAACACTGTAAGGATGGTATGAGCATGCAAAACTAATCTCAAACACAAGACACAGCAGGGCAGGGCAGGAAGAACACAAGGACACCAGAGCCGTTTCTCATTTCTCCAAAACAGAAATAAAAAGGGTTTTGTTTGAAGATCTGTTTAGCACGCTAACTTCAGGAGCGCTGTGACTACTCCGTGTCCACGGTAACAGACGCAATGACATCAAGACACGTTTCCTTTACTTGATCAGAAAAAATTAAACCTTAGAAATACATTAATAATAATAATGACTATTTATATGGAACCTTTCATGACAAATATATACCATATATGACAAAAATAAGGAGCATCAAATCATAATATTTAGAAGGATAGAAAAAGCAA